TTTCTTCCTTCCTTCCTTCCTTTCTCTTATTGTTTCTTTCTTTAAATATTGATTGATTGATTGCTTGACCAATTGATTGATTGACTGACTGATTCATTGATTGAAGCATGCATTCATACCCTCATCCATCCATCTCTACATTTAATCCATATATCACATCCCTTTCCATCGTCAATATAGTTATTTCCTTGTTCATCGAAAGTGGTCTTTTTAATGAAGAAAGTACCTTAATACCAGAGCATGTGATGATCGATCGATCATAAGTCAGTATTTTATATATAAAAGGTATCCGAATTATTACGATAATAGCGGGAAGAATAAGTCACACGACTCGCTTTAGTGCCTTCGTATCATCATTATAAAGGAAAAACAGATCTAAATCTAAACAGGTTAACGTCAAGAAGCAGAAAGACTGACTCATATTGAATACAGAATATCTAGCTTGCATCGAAATGATTCGGTCTAGGTCACTGATCCAAACCTCACCGTGATAGTATTTATCACTAAATAAAGTACTTACGTCTTTGTGCCGCTTCAACCATCAGCTGTTTTGCTTGAATACTAAAGCTTGAAAGGTCTATAAGTCATTGAAATTTACGTAAAATCGTTTTTTTTCTGAGAACCGGCGGTACATGCGGTGTAACCCGTTTTCGTGGAAATAGTATCCYACAGGAAGCCCAACCCACAATATGTCGAGTACTGTAAATAATTTTGTCATTGTTTTTTTTCGCAGAAACGCAGCCATGCAATATAGAAGTCTATTATAAGACCTTTCTATATTTTCGATACCTAAAATATAAAGTCCAGTTTTTCCCCTCCATAGTTTTCTATTCGGACATGCGCAGAACTATATTTGGAAAGGATCAAACACCAGCCTGCCGGGAGGACTGGGAAGCATATATCTCCCCAGACCCTTTCCGCCGAAGTTCCCTTAGCGCTATTAATACGTCCTAGCTAGGTTTATGTGAGGTTCACTTCTTTAGTTTGCAACTATTATAAACCATAATTAAATAAATTTCTGATTCAATTCAATTTAATTTGGAATTAGGATACATCCAAGCAGAAAGTGAGTCTATTTTGTAAAATAAGCCCTTTTGTTATTACACATCAGTTAACTGTGGTTTTTTTTTTTTTTTTTTTGAATAATTGTCATATAATATGCATTGCAAAATCTTGTTCAAAAAGACACAATGAATCACCTTTTCCAGTTAAACTGCGCATTCTCTTGAATACCATTTCTTTTGTTCTCTGGTCTCAAAGAGCGACAATTGATTTATTAGATCCAAACAAGGAATATTTTTTTTCTTTTTTCATGGGAATTACACGTGGCTTGCAAATTTTAATTTTAATTTATCAGTCTATTAGTGTCTAGAGATCTTCAGATGCATCATAACTTTATCTCACATAGCCTTCTCCACTCCTTGTCTTATTCCTATTGTCATCTTCACTTCTTTCTTCACGTCATCCCAGCTTGTTTTCAGAACATCAACTGTTGTGATTTCGTTTTCTTCAAGTTGTTTTACGATGGCGTGAACTTTGTCATCGGGCCATTTGTACTCAGCCTGAAGACGCTTGAAAAACTGCTTTACTGTCTCGCTAGTGCTAGCTAAAGAACAGAATATATGGCACAAGTTTGTTAAAATGTAGGTACAAAGTCTAAACACATAAAAATACTAACCAATTAGTACTATATATTAATCTACGTACTAGATCCGGAAGTCACTAAACGCGTATTATCTTTAACAGATATTTAACTAATACACATTAGTAGACCCTAATTCCAATGCTTTCTTTTGTGTCTATTAGATTATTACACGTTAACAAGTATTACAAGTATTATGAGTTGTTCCAACTTACTTCCACTGCTCGCTTCTGCGCCATCAGATCCCCCATGATGCATTTCCCGCAACTTCTGAATATTGACAAACCTCTCAGCAGAGAGCAGAGCAGTATCCAAGACATCCAAGACTTGTTTCTCGGTCTGTAGAGAGTAGWCATTCTTCTGGCTGGTATAGTTAGTGATGAAGAAAGTCCTGTCTATTGGGCTCCCTGTGGCAGCAGAGGCTTCTTGGAAGGCAATTTCTCTATCATCGTCATTCTTGATTTTGTCTTCACACGTGATGACTGTGATGGGGCTGTAACCTAGGAACGTACGTATTTACAGGTCAGCAATCAAGCTTTATTTAGAAAGCACCGATTGATCAGTCAGTCGTTAGCAATTAACTGCGATGGGTAACTATTTGCGTTTTTTTTTTGGAACTAGATACGCGGGTCGCGATTGCTGCATGTGTACTTGAGTTACTGTTAACCGCCCTGAAATTTAGTTCGTACTTCAATGAAGGGCGCATGTTATTGTGTACAGTGCCTAGTGAATGATTATGCAAGGAGTGTGTAATTAAATGAACATATATACAAACGCGCTTAAGTACGCGCGACTTGTGTTGATATAAACCGGTTTTCATTTGACTGTTAAAAGTTCGCGGCACGAACACGGTGGTGACACGGCAAGACAAAGACTAGACCAATCACCTTACGAAAAAAAATTTCTTCATTCATTCAAATACCCGAAACACGGCCACGCCAAGGTATCATCATATTAACCTACCCTGAAACCTGAAGTGATCTCTAATCTTCTTCATTCTTTCCAGATAGGTCCCTTCCTTCAATCGTCTATCATGGGCCTGTATCACGAAAATCACAGCGTGGACCCGATCTCCAAATTTAGCCATAGATCGAGCAGAAACATCAGCTCCCTCGCCAAGCTCGTCGTTGTCATAGTTACGAAAAATGACGTCACCTTCTCGTGTCCTGTTTTATAAAATTGGGGCATGCGTATAAGTTACATACAGCGCACCATTAAAACATTGCATTGTTTTTGGTGAACAAAAAGGAATTATGGAATAAGTTCGTTACACTTTTACTGAGTGCTTCTCGCGAGTTGAGGGGAAAACTGGGTCGAGTTGGCACCGCATTGTGGGGTAGTTTTAGAGGACAAAATAGACGCCATCTTGAAAATATTCTCTTAAAATAGCCCCACAATGCAAAGCAATGCCAACTCGACCCAGTTTTTCCATCAACTTTGGAATGGTGAAAAGAAAAGAAAAAAACGTGGTTCCTATGCTGACTTCTTACATCCGCAATCTATGCTGCGCGCGCAGATTGCTTCAGTACTTTGCTGCGTTTACTTATGCAGCACGCGAACAGTTCTCGACCGATCAGAGCGCACATAAAAAAGTGATTATATAATAATCTGTGTATTACTCAAGAAAGATATGCGTTGCATATTATAACTGGGTTGCCTGTGTCGTAAAATGCATTTGGTTCTTTCCCCCTCCTAGCCTCACTCGACAAAATGGAAAAATTGCGCAATACAATCCATATATGGATTGGATGACGTGTCCATAGCTGCATGTGGGCTCGAAACCAATGTGCAAAATCCTTTCTGGTCCAACTCTAGGAGATAAATAGGTCTGCCTCACCGTATATCATTCACTGGGTTGCCTGTATCATGCACAGAGGCTTAGTATAGCTGAAGAAGTTTGTTAGCCAAACCAATGTTAGCCAAAATATAATGGAATGTTTCACAGAAAAGAATTATTTCGTTTAACCTGTCTAATACGATCTTCACCCTTAAAGCGCAGGTTTTGCCCGTTTTTACGCTATAAAATACACAGTTTTGCGTTACGCATGTCACACTATTTGTGAATTTGGTCTTGCGCCATGATACAATAAGATCAAATATCCCAATGTTCTCAGTCAGAATCGCCAATTAATTTTCTAATCTTTTTACCATCCTTTGTTATTATATTATTCACTGGGGTGGCTGTTTATTTTCCTTGTCAAAAAGTGCAGAAATTGCGCAATAGTACCCAGACGTCTTCACGGCACCACCCACTAGTCCTTTGCAGGCATATGATATCGAGATCCAAAGTGCAGTAAATGGATTAAAAAAATCTTATGTGGATACGGTGGGATTCGAACCCATCAAAAAAAAAAAAAAAAAAAAGAAAAAAAAAAAAAAAAAAAAAACTTAAAAAAATCGACTCCACTGTGCCATACCCAGACGTCTTCACGGCACCACCCACTAGTCCTTTGCAGGCATATGATATCGAGATCCAAAGTGCAGTAAATGGAAAAAAAAAATCTTATGTGGATAAGATGGGATTCGAGCCCACCAAAAGAAATTCAAAGAAAAAAAAAAAACGATTCCACTTTGCCATACCCCCGAGACATCCGCAGAGCTGGGGCGTCGTATGGACTTCGGACCTGACGGCGATTAAATCCTTCTGCCCTTGGGTGTACGAATTACGCAAGAAAATGTTCTAGCCGAAGCATCAGGGGNGTCCAGTGGATAAATCGTTGTCGTTCAAGAAATTAAGTCAAGCTCGTCTGAGGAGGGTTAGCACTTGGATGGGTGACCTAAAAATTATACCTACTCAAGCTTTTGCTCCTTTTTTCATCCGTTTTTCTTTTTTGATTTTTAAAATATTAGAATATGGAACAGTGAAACTTTTTGTGAAATCTAGCATTGGAAAATCCCTAAAAAAAGAAAAAGAAAAAGAAAAAAAGAAAAGAAAAAAAACCAAAAACTGCCGGCCATTTGGTATTTTCAAAAAATTGGGGTCATGGGTATTGAAAATATTTTAATTGTATTTTTCTTATCAAGCACAAGTTTTAGTTAATATATTCAAGATCAAGTAGCGTTAAGCTAATTACAAATCAAATATACCAAAATATAGCAATTTTATAACCCATGGCCCCATTTTTTGACCCGGCCCTTGAGCATGCGCTTAGAGCAGAAGCGCGGAACTCTTGATGCATGTATCAATATATGTACTAACTAACACTGACTTACTTGCCGGTCATAACATCAAGGCATTCTGCCAGAGTGTCATCCTCGATATTCCAAAAACCTCTTGTATCCAGAAGGTTTATTTTCAATAATGAGAGGAACTCCTGAAGAAGCACTGTACCCTCTGCACCAGCACCTTGTTCAAACGCTGTTTGATTATCAGACCCCAGTAGGGTCCTCTCGGCGGTGCCTAAGAGAAAAGAATGCTATTAACAGATCCAGAAAGCAGTCACACCCCAGACCCTTCGTGTCTTTTATTTCACTATTTCCAAAGTCCCCAACCTCCCTCCCCTCCCCGGTGCATTTTTAACTTTGGAGCGTCAAGAAAGGCGCGATCGCGGTTGAATTTTAACAAAAGACGTGTCGTTAGTCTCTTTTGTTATATTCTCTTGAAAACGATTGAAGACTAGCAACAGACCTTATCGTCCCGTCCCGTCCCGTCCCGTCAACTCCCATGCATCCCCCCCCCCCCTCCTACAAAGACGCAAACAACTTTCTATACGTACCAATGAAGCTTGTTTTTCCTGAGCCAGTGGGACCAAACAGAGCAATAACAACTCTCTTCATATCACTGACGTCCAGGTCTTGAGCTTTAAAGGTCTCTATCGATAATTTATTACCAAATTCGTAACTCAAAAGATCCTCCTTCATCTTGGTACAAGCAATCTTTTCTTTCTGTTCCTTTTCCTCCCTCAATCGTTCAGCCTTGAGCTCTTCTTCTCTTCTCTTTGCTTCTGCTCGACCGTGAGCGTCTCTCAGGTTTTGGAGTCTCACGTCTTCTAAAGCTGAGCTGAGCTCTCTTTCTTTCATCTGACGTAGTTCTTCCTCCATCTGCCTGACCAGTCTAGCATTTTCTGCTCTTGCTGCTTGCCTTCCCTGTTCTCTTGCATTAGGATCAGTTTTGTCAACAGTTTCGTAAACCTAACGGCAAGAAGTAATTAAGATAGAATATTAAGTCACCATGCATCATTTTTCTAGCGATAGTATATAATTTGAGTTTACTTTTTTTGACACGAAAGGTAATAAGTGATTGAGAATGAAATCATTATGCTCCATGGCATTCCCTCCCTCCCCCTCCCCCCAGGGAAACTTGGTAGCTTCCCTTTAAGAGGGGAGCTAGGTTACTGGCAAACAGACATTTGTCCTTCAATTCTGGATTTACTTTGACTTTTATTTTGGAGAATTGAGGTCAAATTCAATTTATTCCAAGGGTGGTGACTACCCTTCCCTCGAAAATTAGTTTCGGGTCCAACGAGATTCGCGGAATTGTTGTTTTCCCCCCTCTCCCTCTAAGTGATCATTTGCTTCGACAAAGATGTAACGCAATCTTATACATCCCTCCCCCTTCTTTCCATGCCAATAAGGGCCACCCCACACAATTAATCACATCAGTTCGGGTCACTCGAAATGCTCGAGAAGCGGAAGTCGATACAAAGAAGCTGGACTTTCGCTTTACATTTCTGTCCGGCAAGTGTCTCTCCGAAAAATAAAGCGATGACCGATTAAAGGACCCAGCTAAATTAGGCTAACTCGAGGTAGAAGGACATGCTAGGATAAATAATACATTAAAACTAGGAATTGAGCTGAACGACTTTCATGAAAATGCAAGCCAAACTTTAATGTGATATACACTTTGGGTTTCAATCTCGTGCTTACGGTTTCTCTTTTTGAGCCGCCTGCTTTTGCTGCTACTGCTAGAATTAAACTTAAAAGGAGAAAAGTTCTTACTCTTTGCATAAGAAATAAAGGATAAATGATATGAAAAGTATTATCTACTCACTATTTTTACTCCCATTTTCTGTTGAAGCTATAGCTTGAGTTTCGTGGAGCGATAAAACAAGTCCCAAACCTTCCCCGTACACTGTGCCTCGATTTATACATAGTGATGGCAATTCCGAGAAAATCCTGGGCGCAACTCAGTTCTTGGAATATCACTTGGGGAAAACCCTGAAATGATGATGTCACCACAGGTAGCCCAAAATACAACAAATATGGTGTGAAGCATGCGATTGGGTTTAAATCACCTGATAAACGTCAAGTTCATAATATTTCGCTATTTAATGAAATTCGGTCAAGTTCTCAAGTTCTCATGCATACTAGTCTGCTACCGATATCTTTTTACTTTGATTTTTTCAATCACCTATCTCCGCCCTCAACCACCCCCGACTTATTATTTTTTGTATTCATCGCTAAATTTCATGATGGGACCGAAGGGGAAGGAAAAGATACAGGAAAAATGCTCTTGATTATCAAGACGTTTTTTTATGTCGTTTGAAAATGCTCTCAAAATTTTTGATACTCTGCCAAATATACGGCCGGCTGCGGCAGAGAAAGAAAGCTTGGGCTTCCTGTGTGGCAATGCTTCTTCGTGCATGTATTATACGTATTACCGCAGATGCATGAGCCCGTCCACATCTTCGAAGTTGATAACATTATAATGGTAAGAAAAAAATATTGTCTTGTTTGATTGAAAAATTTCTTCTCTTTTTCCGTATAAACACCTCCAATCGAATGTACATTAACTTCTCAATGTATTTCTAGTTTCAGTTTATGCTATTATTCAGCCGTCAAGGCAAAATACGACTTCAAAAATGGTACACCGCGACATCTCAAAAAGAGAAGCGAAAAATCACTCGGGATTTAGTGACCATGGTGCTGTCTAGAAAACCCAAAATGTGCAGCTTTTTAGAGTACAGAGATATTAAAGTCGTCTATAAAAGGTAAGAAGTATAATATTTTACCAAAATAAACAGTCAACGCTTTGTAAAAGTTTTCAGTAAAAGTTCCCAATGTAAGACTTCGGCTAAAACTTTCGTACAGCTTCAATCAAATGCCTCATCAAGTGAGCTTTAAGTTTGCATAGTGTTCGGAACCGGAATAGAAATAGAAAAGAAGTCTGAGCCTGAAAAAAATATTTCTTCTTTAAAAAACTTAAAAAAGTTATCACCAATGCGAACCGGGTTGGTGTTCTGCCAGGTCCCATGTCGTATGTGAGTAGAGTTGTTTGTTGGTTCTCTCCTGTGCTTCGAGGGTTTTCCGGGTTCTCCGGTTTTCCTCCCTCCGTAAATTTCCAATTGGAATCCAGTGGATGAAGAGCTACTTTGTGGAATCCACCATATACTTTGAGGAATTACCGTTATCCATTATAAAAGTTTGCTTAACAACCCTTGCATTTCAACCAGAAATCATAATAGTATGCTTACTACAGATGTTACTAAACTGAGTTTTCAACTTTTAGTCTGCATTGCTTTCTTTACCTGTTAGCATCCTTTGATAATTTTCTTTCCACAAATTATAAAAAGGATGCCAACTCATGGAGAAAAGAATGCAGACAAAAAGTTTAATATTTACCATTATTAAATTACTTTTTATAATTCTCGCATTCTGATTGGTTGGGAGCTTGTGCTTTATGAGAGTACACGGCATGCGCACACATTTTCAGTTGCATCATTCCTATCCAAAATAAGGGTTATTAAAATTTTTATTTTATAAGAGAAATAAAAAACTAGCTTTCTGTGTTGTGCGGAGTTATAAAGCACAAGTGGAGATTGGTGGAACACTCGAAAAGTGTCGAGAAGCACTCCGCTATGCGTCATACTTCTCCTAACACTTGTTCTACCAACCCTCTATAACTGCACACAGCACACACGTGCGTTTCCTATTTCTTCAGCAGCATTGTGTACATGTACACACATATACAAGAGGTAAATATGTATACACATGGAGATGTCATGTAATGTTTGTACATGATGTTTTCTGGTTGAAAACCCAGTTCAGTACCATCAAACGTATATTCCATTGTTAGCCAGTCCACCAAAATGCACTAGTCAAATGAAACCCTCAACCCCTAGTACATAATTGAAGTTTTATGGTTATGAGACCTGGGCTTACACTAAGGGTTTTTGGGGGGGGGGGGGGAGCTACAAGGGAAAGGGAAAATTTAATTCTAATACAAAAATAGAAAATTGCCATTGTAGCAAGTCCCAGATTCTAGTCAAAACAGAACATAGGATTTTTTTTTTGTGGGGGGGCCGGGGGATTATTAGCTTTTTTGTACTGTATAGCACATTTTCGAATAAAATGTAACTAGATTAATTTGTTTTACTATTCGGATTTTGCGATATATGGTAGAACAGAAGTAATAATATATAAATGATGATGATGATCATCATCATTACTATTATTATTATTGTGAGTCATATTTTATCAAAGACGATCTACTGCAAAAGTAGCGTGTGAAATTACAATACATAATCAAAAATAGTATGTAAGTTGAAGTTACCGGGTTCAAGATCAATTATGTTATATGCATGCTCTTTATAGTGCAGTCTATTAATATTTGTAGTAGTCATGATTATGAACTAACACTGTAATGTCATCCCGCTAAAACCTACTGTTTATTTGTAACATCTTTCTACAGTTCCCGCTCATTCCCCATATCTATCATTCGGGGTGGCACCCTATCGATCACTGATTCGGGGTGCTTCTGGCTTGTTATTGACAGTCACATTGACCTAACGAACTGGAATGTAAAGACATTAGAAAATGCAGTGCATGAGATTGCTGACGCGCAAACTCTTCGCGCTTCTATGAAATTCTATCAAGTGTATCCAAATCGCATATATATATATATATATATATATATATAACAAAGTATGTAATGTGGTCTATACTGTTGAAACAGTGCTCGATGCGTAGGGATGCAGAGCAATAGATANGGGGGGGGGGAGAGGTAGGGTCTTATAAAAGGAGGGGGAAAACATCTGAAATCCTTTGTATCTAACAATGTTTTTTCTTTATAATTTCCATTGAACCCAGGAAGCAATATTCTAAATATTGTCATTGTGCTAAGGGTGCCTCACAGCAGCACTCCATCARTGAAGACAGGTGGGCTTATAACCAGGGAATGTTAATACTTATTTCTTGTATCTTCTTCATTCTCTCTGTAGATATGCAAGCTTGTACTTCTGCGTTGGGATGGACAATGATGACAATGAGCTTGTTGCACTAGAAGTTATACACAGATATGTGGAACTTCTTGACAAATACTTTGGAAGTGTAAGTGATTTAAAAGAATATACCTATTGCAATTGACTAGGAAGATAAAAGAAATATGTGTTTCTTCTTCATCTTAAACTCTTTATCCTTGTGTCTTTAAAGTTATAAACCCCCTTCCCAGAATATATATATATATAAACATGAAACAAAAAAACAAAAAAAATGAATGAGTGTGTATAAGACAACTGTGATTTTTTGCAGTAACCCTCTTTCTTTTCTTCCAGGTTTGTGAGCTTGATATTATTTTCAACTTTGAAAAAGCATATTTTATGTTGGATGAGCTGTTAATTGGAGGAGAAGTCCAAGAAACAAGTAAAAAGAATGTACTTAAAGCTATATCTGCACAAGACCTTCTACAAGAGGTAATGAATGGTAACTTACTTTATATTAGAAAACAGGGCTTTTGAAACAAAAAGTCATGTGCTGTTATATGACCCTGATACCAAATCGATTCAGTCAAAGGTCCCTTGAAAAAGGCTCTGCTAGATGGCAAATGAACTCTAAATTGCTTTACACCTTGAAATCAAGTATCTTATAAGTGGAAAAAATCATTTTGAAAAGGTAATTTTGGATATGACATTAGTAATCCAGCAAAAAATCTTTAAATAATGGAAGTCCAATTTTTTTGCCATCCAGTAACAATCATGTGTCAATCTATTGCAAAAGGCCTATTGGAACTTATCCGGTCAAATCTTTGCCTTACTGGTCATTTTGACCAGTAATGTTGAGCTGAAAAGGGTTATGACTGAACTAATACTAATTTGGCCTGTCATCATGACTGCCAACTTGCCACCATCATTTTCAGCTCTATTTAGATGATATATTTTCAGGGATTTGAACCCATAAAAACCAGTGGTCATATGATAAAACATGGAATAACATCAAAAGGCATTTTCTTTGCTGTGGGAATTCTCATTCATTTCTTTGTTGGCCTACCTGTGGGGTGGAGGCTAATGTGACTGAGAAAGACTGAGCAAGCTAGCTCTGTTCTTCCTTTCCCCCATCATCTCCCCAAGCCCTCTCCTCCTCCTTTTTGACACAGGAATCCCTATATGCCTAAAAAAGTAAAATAAGAGGAGACAACTAGTATGAAAACATCAAATAAAGTATTGTGTTTAAGTGGAAATCACAAAAAAGACTCATTTCATATCTGATGTACAGGCAAATTGTGAATTTTATTGGCTAGTCACATGTTTATCTTAGAAAGGTCATTTGAAAATTGGCATAATGAATCAAGTAAACAAATTCATTAGTGTCACCATGTGCTTCACTTTCAGGAGGGCGAGAAACCACACACTACACTGGAAGATATTGGACTATCCTGAACTTGTACTTATTCAATCAATCAATCATTTATTTCAACACATCTTTCTTTCACGACTTCCTTTTCACTTGAACTCAGAGCTAAGAATATTTTCAATCCTTATTCATTCCTGCTTTTGTTCTACAGGAGGGCGAGTTGCAGAAAACACTGGAAGAGATGGGGCTTGCCTAAGCACTGGTTCTCTAATCCCCCTAATCTCCTTTAAACTTCTTTGATCTAAACTACTTTTCCTTTTTACTCTATTCCTTCTACTTGTTCTGCAGCAATTGGAACTTCAACAGACTCTTGAAGATCTGGGCCTGTCTTGAAGATAGATGACTTGCTAACCTTCCTTTTATTAAAAAACTTAGAATGGCTAATAAATATAACCAATAACATAGTAAATCTTATAACTTTACACATCCAGTGTTGTCAAAAGCAGTTTGAATTTAAGGTTTTGATTGTGATTATTAGTTTTCTTGGCATAAATTCTCTCATAATCATAAACATTAGTTTGTATTATTACCAGCATGAATGTGAACTGCGATCATTTAACCGTTTCAATACAATAGATTACTGAAAAGATATTAAAATATATAAATGAAATTCAAAATGTGAAATAGTGCATTGTACGAGAATCAAGGCCAGCCACCAAGTGGTTAAGTCAGAGAAAATTGATTCATTTGTAATCATTATTGATTCTTGATAAGACATCTTAGCCACTTAAAGCAGAATTTCTCATTAACAACTAATAAATTTGAAAATTCAAGAAAAATAGTTGCAAATGTCATTTGTTAAATTGATTTATAACTAGTTATTATCTAATCTCCTTATATTTGCTTGTCTGTTCTATCATTTAAATACTTTCTGTGGTTTTGATGAATGAAGAAAAGATATAAAATTTTAAACTCATAAATTGTAATAAAAATAAGAACAATCTAAATAAAATAACTGATTATTCACCACTTAAAGATTTTTGACTAAGCCATCTTTTCTTATTTCTGCTCCTTGATATCTTTGAAAAGAGACTACTTGAAACTTGAAATGCTTTCTTCTCTTTTGAATAACTGTGAAAATTATTAAATTGAAACACAATTTGTATTGATCTAAGATGTTTTATAGATGGGGTGAGAGATAGGTAGATCTAGAGGAAGTTCTTTGGGTATCCGCATGGATTCCAGCTTTCTTTCCAGGAAGTCCTCAAAAGTGTTTGAAACAGCATTTCTGGGAAATATCAAATAGACATTATTTGGGGTTGGAGCATTGGACTAAAAATACTACTACTTTGGGGGGAGGGGGGGGAATCCTGGAAAGTTTTGGAAATCAATAATGGATTTTTTCAGGACCTTGAAAGTCTTGGAAAATAGATTTTTGGTCAAATAGACTATAACATGTTTTTTTAGCTTGTCTGGCTTATGCCTTGCAAAGAATTGTTTTAGTCATAAAGCGCCAAAGATTTTTTTCGTCAGCATTGTAGGTGTGGTGAATGCGAGTCAATGCCTGCTGCCAGCGCCTGTTTCAGATTCATAAATTTGGCTTTATTTTTGCGCTGTGTGTGCTTTTGGGATTTGGGTCGAAGGGCTTTGGCAAAGTTTTGGAAATTCTCGGGGGATCCTGTACAAACCCTGACTACTAATAATCTATGATAAGCTTTATAACGAACGTCTCGGGAGACTGGGGAGGAAAGGGGGAGGGGAAATGGGATAGGGAGAGCAGGCTTTCCCTCTCCCTTTTCCCCACAAATGTCTCAAATCTTATAGCTTGGTACGTACTTTGCTAATAGGGGAGACCTCGTGGAGTTCTGCCTTCTTGAAATGGTTTGTTAAATGTTTGTCATATATTAAATACAAAGCCAGTTTTGCTTAACACTTTTACAGTTGCAATGATCTCGCTATCGCAAGGATAAGGTTTGGTGATCATCAGTCTATCGTGAGCAAACTTGTTTCGCGGAACTGTCGGAGCGTAATGTCCCTTCGTATTAACTTCTATATGTGACACAGGGCAGTAGGTTCAGTACTGTTAACACCGCTAACTAAATTTCTTTAAGTGATGTTGGGTTTTCATCTGATCCATAAAGCCCAGATCCCGGTTGTACGAAGGTTGGATAGCGCTATCCGACGGATCAATCATCATCCAGCGAATAAGTCGATGCTGTTATCCAATAAATTTATCCGACTGAATAAGATCTATCCGTCGGGATAGCCTATCCACCATTCGTACAACCGGGCCGCGCCCTGTACAAAATGACCAGTGCCAAAGAAGCTAGTTTTTGTCTAAATTAATTGCCCTATTTCACTATGACGTCACTGCTTGTTTATGTGGGGGATAGAATCGCCGCCAATTGAAAATTGAACAAAATTTGCTCCTAGCGAAACCGTTTAATCTAAAATGGCCTGGTTTTAGATATAATATGTGTTAATATGTACTAAAAAATATTCTGAGCGTTTGCTGGCTATTTTACTTCTCTTTGTGGATTGATACGGGTTTTAGATCAATTTTCGGTGAATTTGCGTTGATTCAGACCCCCTCCGACGACTATATGAGCCTTTGCGTTTAAAGAATAGATTGTTTTGATGTGACGTCATAGTGAAATAGGGCAATTGAGGCTCTGGTCCCTAAACATGAACAATTTTGAAAATACAGAAGTACAAAATATTTTATTATATTTTTGATGATCAATATTCCAAACTGTCAAATGGCACTTGAAAAGTTGTTAAAAATATCTCATTTTAAGTACGGCACACCTACTTCAACTTACGCATTTCAACTTAAAGAATTTACAAGTGTAAGAAATCCGCCTACTCAGTTGTGGTCGAACTCAACCGTAACAAGTACATGTGCAATATCGATCGTTATTAGTATTTGATGGCGTTTCCAGAGAAGTTTTACGAACTGTCTCTTTTGCTGACCAGCTTCCGACAAAACTCTCGACCAAATTTTCATCGTTCCCCTATTTTTTACTTTAGCTTTCTCACCACACACAAATAGTCTATTCTTTCGTTTATCTACAACTTGGATTTTTTGTTGCGATACCTTTTCAGTAATTTAAAAGAAGAGATAACTAGCTAAAAACTAGTGTGAGCTGCGTCGGTGTTTCTTATGAAACAGTAATGAAAAAAGGTAAATTATACACCGTGAAAAGATGAAAAAACTTACTGACGTTTCGGACGCTAGTTCGTTCGTCGGAGTACTAGCGTCCGAAACGTCAGTAAGTTTTTTCATCTTTTCACGGTGTATAATTTACCCTTTTATCATTACTGTAATTTAAAAGAAAGTTTTTTTAATGGTCAACTGACATTTTACGTTGACGTAAATCTAAAATTATCTAACCGGTGTTAAAAATTACTTCAACTTACGCATTTCAAGTTTTCGTGTAATAAATTCGCCTACTTAGTCATGGTTGAACTGGCCGTAACAAGCACATGTGCAATATCGTTATTTGCGTTTTCAGAAAAGTTTTACGAACTGTCTTCTTTGCTGATCGGCATTAACGTCACAACGTCGATTTTCTTGCAAGCCTACGAGCTACAATAAGCTTCCACGTTACCAAGATGACGAGCTCATGATAAATAAATATTATGCTTTATAAAGTAAATTATTGAAGAAAGCAAAGAAAACATAATCATTAATGCCTCTTCATACATCGGCGCGAATGCCACTAAAACCAGAACACCAGCGAGATCGGTGACTTTGCATTTCAAAGGAACGCAGTAGACATTTTTATGGTCCGGCAAAAATAGTTTAAATTTAATAATGTTTAATCTGAATAATTCATTATCATAAGTGTTCCACTTCATTGGGATTTCATAAAGAGTGATCAAAACCAAAAACTTACAAAAATAGTTAGTAGAAACCTTAAAGTTTCAGGTTTTCTTGACAAAATTCTAGGGTTACAATTGCGATAGTGATTATACTCGAGAGTTGAAAAAACGTGGTAATCAGTGTTGGTAATATTTCATTTCAATAACAAAATAATTAACAGCAATTGCTAATATAAATATACATGATTGTAAATATACGATTATCGCTTCTTTTTTCCCTTTTTCTTACGTCCTTGTTTAGTTTGTTCTTTGTCATTTGTGTTTTCGACTCTTAGGGCATGTCCTTGTTCTTTGATGTGCTGAAATAGCTTATTTCGAGTCGCGAAAGCTTCCTTGCAAACATTACAAGCGTGGTCTTCTGAGGTTTTCTTTGCGTGGATGTTTTGTTTAGAGTTTGCACTGTTGTGCGCCGTTGAAGAAGCACTGTCCGCAGCATGTGTTTCGTCATGACCTTCTTGATTCGATGTTTCCTGATCTTTCAAGCTGCTTTCCTTCTCGCTGTCATGATTTTGACAGTCACTATTTGTATTTGAAAATTCATCGACATTTGCATCGATATTTTGAATCGCGATGTTACCATTTTCACTCACGTTATCGTAACTATCGTCAAAGCCTTTCTGTCTTTGAATTGAAATTTTCCTTACTGAATTTTCATTTTTGGAACTTCTACCTGTTTCATCTTTTATCTTTCCCTTCCTCGACGTGGATTTCGTCCGCCTCACGAATCTTCGAAAGCTTTCTCGATTTCCCTTGCTTTTCTTTAACTTTAAACTTATTAGTTGTCTTGATTTTAAGGTCGATCAAATCCAACGAATCTGCCAATTCTAATTCTCCAACACTCACAAAATCTTTAACGTCGTCCTTCGCAGCATTGGAGTTCTTTGGGTCCATATTGACCTGTTCCATACTTTCTCGTCTTTCACTCAAGAATGCCTGTTCAGTGTCAACAACCTCTTTATATTCGTTGTCATCTTCTTGATTGACGCCATCCATTTCCTTAAGCTGGGCCTCCAATTCTATTTTAAGTAACGCTACTTTTTCCTTGTGTTTACGAGACTTTTCGTGGTTGATCAGCGCCTTCTCAGACTTGAAGGGTTTATCACACGCAACACAGTAATATTGCTCTTCAACCACGTCTTTTTCCTCGCCTGATTGGTCACCACTGACGTCATTATCTTTGCCGAATTCACTGTCCAAATGAGTGTCCATATCGGCCAAGTCTTTCTCCAGTCCAGACATGGAGTGCCACTCTTGGGCCTCGTATTCTTTAAACATCTTTTCTCTTTCTCTTCTAGCTTCACGCTTTTTCTCTTCGGCAATTTTCTTTCGCTTATCATCCATCTCCTTCAAGCGCTCCACATACAATTTTACTCTTTTATCTCTCTTCTTAACAAAAGCAACTAATGCTCTTATTTCTTCATTTCTATCCCTCTTCATGGCGTCTCTTATTTTCTTGTTCTCTTTCTCCATTAATCTCATTGTCCTTCTATTAGGTGCTTCACGAATATCGTATTTTTCGCACCAAGTGAATGATTTTTTCGTACAATAGCTCTGCCAAAACCCATAGAATTCTTGGACCACTTCTTCATAATCACTATCACTTTGACCGAATTCAGGAACCTCTAGAAGAAATTCATCGGCATCAGGTATAAACTCAGCATCTTCTTCGGCTATAGTTTTAAAAACGCCCGAATAAACAGCATAAAATCCATGTTTGTCGTCACCAAATCCTGAATAAGCAGACGAACTAAAATAGCTCATGAGGTTGATACCATTATCAACATAGTCCTCACCGCCACGGAGAATTTGTTCCCTGTGTTTATCATACCAGGCTCGTTCTTGTGGATCTGACAGGACTTCATAAGCTTGCTGGATCTCTGCAAATATTTTAGTACATTCTTCTACATTCTCAGGGTTTTTATCAGGATGCCATTTCAGTGCGATTTTTCTGTAAGCTTTTTTGATTTCATCATCTGTAGCATCTCTTTCCACGCCAAGGATTTCATAGTTACATCGTCGCATTTTATACTCTATCACTCGAGGAGTGAAACCAAAATGAATTGCTTGTCAATTTAAGGTTTGGAAGTTTCAGAAATATTAAAATCAAGGCTTAAAATCCCAAATTTTTCGCCACAAAACCTCAAAACTCGTGGTGTAACAAACATGGCCGCCAAATGGAACCGCTGGCCTTATCTCGTGGGCTCCTATAAGTCGTCATAGTAACGAATTTTCCAGCTGACTTAAAGAAACGCAGGCTCTTGTCAACTGTATCCATGGTAACAAGTCACGCTAATTTCTTTGCTTGTGTGTCAAGTAAAGTCTCTTGAGTTGAAGATTTTAATTTCATGAGCTAACAATACTACTGTTTTTCGGCATCAAAAAGGAAAAGAAAAGAGCCATGCATAGAGCGTATCAACCCATTACTCCTGCTAATAACAAACTGTTGAAACAAAGATGGGATAATAGCAGTTACGACACTCATCGCAGAAAGGTATAGTTTTGGTATTCGGCAGACCAATGTCTGGTCCGGTCCTGTTTGAAGAGAGTTTTTCATATCTTTTCAGGTTAAATCGGCGGTAGCTGTTATCGATAACAAAGCGCCCAAAACATACATGCATCTTCATTTAAAGCTCAAAAAGATCCAGGTAAGAATTGAATTTTTTGCTTGAATTATAACTTGTTGCRAAAGCATGCATCCGGAGAAACCAGCCAGATGTTTGTATTCATATCACAATAAAAGGTTTCTATGTAAACAGGGATAAAGAACCTCACTGTTACATAAAAACATATAATGATTATCCTTTCATCTCAAGATTTCATCTCACCAATATTTAAAAAAGTACAAAGAAAAAGGCCTCGAACCCTAAGTTACTGAGAAACAAAATTATATATCCTTCGGAACTCTTGGAATTTCATTCGGCGTCTTGTTCATTGTGCAGAGTAACTTTGCTTTTGTTTTGACAAAGGACCTTTTCTTATATGGATATCGGGGCGAAAATGAGTAAAAAAGCTTTCAAGTTTTTGAAATTCTCTTAATATTTGATGGATAGCAAGAAACTCGTTTATTTTTTAGCAACCAGTAATTTGAGAACCCCTCATTAACAAAAACCAACCCGTTTTATAATCAAATATCAAAAACAAACATTTTCAACCAAAAAAGTGAAAAAAATTAGCTCAGTTTTTCAATGTTATTTTATTCGTTCGAATCATTATTTTTATTTTTTATTTTTGCTGTATTCTTAATTTATATTCCATTTCACTTGAATTTACTTTGCGAGCCAGATGTCGAATTTGCTCATTTTCCGGTTTCATTTACTTTTTGCCACAGTTGTGACATTCTTTCAGAAAATCTGACGAAAACTTGCTAGAAATTTGAGATAACGTTGAATATGTTATTAGGCAGGTCGTCAGTAATTGATAGGCAACTTCAAAAAACCGCTAAAAAGTCGTAAAGGCTAGTGCCTAAATAAATTCCGTTTGTCAAAATTTCATTAAATGTTTTGAAATCTTGGAAATTAAAATAAAAGCAAGAAAATGCAAAGAAAATTGCTTTGCAAAAAGCAGAAATTGGAAAGTTTTGATTATATTTTGTTAATTTGTTGAATATTTATAGGTTGAAGAGGAAACAAATGCAACTATTCAGCGCGATAATCGTATTTTGCTTGAGAAGATGTCTTACATCATGAGAACTAAAGGAAGAGTGGACAATAGAAATGATTATGAACACAAGAGCCTGAATAAGACCAAGAGACAGAGGGAACTGCTAAGAGTAACACATGAAAATCAGGTAAAAACTGAATCAGCTTTGTTAAAAATTGGACCACAGTAAGTTGTAGAGGCAAGAAAGAAGGGGTAAATTATTGCAAATATAATATGGAATATAATATAATATAATATAAAACGCTTGGATTTTTTCTAGGCCATTTTAAAGAGAATTGCATCAAGAGAACCACACTACAATCATCTGCAATGGGTAAGTCTAGATTAAAAGTATCATTTACATTTACTGCATTTACATAATTACACTGTATAAAAATACTAAAAAGGCGGGGAGGGGGGAGGTATAAAAATACTACAGAGGTGGGGGGAGGTTGAAGCCTCATAGAAGAAGTTGCTTTGTCTGGTCCTGGTAGGAACATGCTGCTACCAAGATCCTCAAGCCCTGACCCTATCTAAGACAAACATTATTGAAATCATATCCAGGAGGGGGCTAAAGGGCCTCCCCATCCTCATGCTGTAGTATTATAAACATGTATAAAGTCACATGATAAGTTCAACTTACCAATATTTTAAAAACAGGTCCCCTCCACCCCA